TGTTGAGAGAGCATGGTGTGTCTGCGCGCGCGCGCGTGTGTGTGTGTGTGTGTGTCATGAGTGTGTGTGTGTGTGTGTGTGTGTGTGTGCGCGCGCGCGTGTGTGTGTGTGTGCGTGTGTGTGTGTGCGCGCGTGTGTGTACGTTTGTGTGTGCGTGTGTTCGTAGGCGTCAGTTTGTACGCGTGCGCGAGTGTGCGTGGGCGTGTGTGTGTGTGTTCGTAGGCGTCACTTTGTACGCGTGCGCGAGTGTGCGTGGGCGCGCGCGCGCGCGCGCGTGTGTGTCGCGTGCTGTGTGTGTGTGTGTGTGTGTGTGTGTGTGTGTGTGCCGGTGCGTATGTTTGTGTGTGTGTGTATGTTCGTGTGCGCGTATGCTTGTGTGTGCGCGTGTATGTGCGTATGTGTGCGCGCGTGTGTGAGCCTATGTGTGTGCGTTTGTGCGTGCATGTGCGTGCGTGCGTGTGTTAGTGGGCGTGTGTTTGTGCGCGTGAGCGCGTGCGTGTGTGCATGCGTGTGTGTGTGCATGCGTGTGTGTGTGTGGGCGTGCGTGGGCGTGCATGTGTCTGTGCGCGCCCGTGTGTATGTGCGATTGCGTGCGCGTTCGAATGCGCATATGCGTGTGCGGGTGGGCGTGTGTGTGCGGGTGGGCGTGTGTGTGCGTGCGCGCGGGTGTATCGCGTGCGTGCGCGTGTGTGGGCGAAAGTGTTGTGCGTTCGTGCATGCGTACGTATGTGTGCGTGCCCATGTGTATGTAACTAAAGTGGGGTTAGCCAAAAGCCTGATGCTAAAATTACTAATTAACAATTTCCTCATAATAGAGTAGTGTTATTAGAGAAATAAACTTGTGTTACCTACGTTTTTGTCAAACAATTTAGTAACTTTGCAAAAAACGGTGTATAATAGTCTCTAAAACGTTTTTTATAACCATTTTTAATAAGCTATTAATGACATTGTTTTCACGTTTAGCGAACGCTGGCAAAACGTTCGTTCCCAACGTTTTCGCTGAAGTATCTTGCAACAATACCAGAAACCTATAGGATTCTACTTATATCCTTATTATTAACGCTTTGAAAACGTTGAAAAAAAATTTGTTTTAAACCAACCAGTATGCAACGAAATCTTAACGTTGCAAAAATGTCATGTGTTAGCTGCGCAGCATGGTGGAGGAGCCAAGGAAGGCTGTTGATCCGACAAGACCTATGTAGATACTATTACACATAGACAATAGCCAACGGCGAACTTCCCCCGGTCAACGACCCACAACCCCAACAACGCGTGGCGTTGTCTACCTACAGGTAAAATACGTTGTACCTGATGTATATGCTACACACCTGATGTATATGGCTGTTTCTCATAAATTGTTTTCCTTGTGTTTATGAAAAATTTACTGCATTGCATGAAGCCACAATACATTGATGCACGCGCGCACGTACACAAACAGACACAGCCACGCGCATTCACGCACGCACACGAGCACGTAGACAGACAGTCACGCGCACCCACGCACGCAGGCGAGCACATACGCATGCAGACAAAACCGCACGCACGCACGCGAGCACGCGCACAAACTGTTACACGGCACACAGGCGCAAATACGTGCCAATACTTTCAATATAGGAGACGAATTCAGAGAGCGGGGGAGGGGGGTCTTCTGGGATTCAAATGGCGCTGTGCAGAAAAACTCATTTTTATGTGAGTCAATATAACAGAAAATATAGAATCTTAATTCTGAATTTCACATATATTTTTTACTACAATACTTTATCCATCATTTTCAATGTATTGTGGCTTCATGCAATGCAGTAAATTTTTCATAAACACAAGGAAAACAATTTATGAGAAACAGCCATATACATCAGGTGTGTAGCTAACGTATTTTACCTGTAGGTAGACAACGCCACGCGTTGTTGGGGTTGTGGGTCATTGACCGGGAGAAGTTCGCCGTTGGCTATTGTCTATGTGTAATAGTATCTACATAGGTCTTGTCGGATCAACAACCTTCCTTGGCTCCTCTGCCATGCTGCGCAGCTAACACATAACGTTTTCGCAACGTTAAGATTTCGTTGCATACTGGTTCGTTTAAAACAAATAATTTATTTAACGTTTTCAAAGCGTTAATAATAAGGTTATAAGTAAGTTCCTATAGTTTTCTGGTATTGTTGCTAGATACTTCAGCGAAAATGTTGGGAACGAACGTTTTGCCAGCGTTCGCTAAACGTTAAAGCAATGTCATTAGTAGCTTGTTAAAAATGGTTATAAAAAACGTTTTAGAGACTATTATACACCGTTTTTTTTGCAAAGTTACTAAATTGTTTGACAAAAACGTAGGTAACACAAGTTTATTTCTCTAATAACACTACTCTATTATGAGGAAATTGTTAATTAGTAATTTTAGCAACAGGCTTTTGGCTAACCCCACTTTAGTTACATACACATGGGCACGCACACATACGTACGCATGCACGAACGCACAACACTTTCGCCCACCCGCACACACATACGCGCATTCGAACACGCACGCAATCGCACATACACACGGGCGCGCACAGACACATGCACGCCCACGCACGCCCCCACACATACACGCACGCACAAACACACGCACGCACGCACATGCACGCACACACATATGCTCACACACGCGCGCACGCACACACACGCCCATCCGCACACACATGCGCGCATTCGAACGCGCACGCAATCGCACATACACACGGGCGCGCACAGACACATGCACGCCCACGCACGCCCCCACACATACACGCACGCACAAACACACGCACGCACGCACATGCACGCACACACATATGCTCACACACGCGCGCAC